AGATATACTACCTCGGTAACACTGTACTTTGCCCCAGCCGGAAGCTCCCAAACTTTTTATATTACATTATTTTGGGCATACTATGCAGTATATTTTTTGATGCTCTATCGATTCTCCGAGCCAAAATCCCGACAAAATGTCGGAAATGTCGAAAGATTTTGGGAACTTCCGGATGGGGGGATAAGGTAAAGTCTAGCCCCTACCTCATTGTGGTTTACCAAAACCCACTGGGCGCGGTCGAACTGCTTCAACCCGGCCCACGTCGAGAAGGCCAGGCCGAAGGGTGATGTGCTGAGAAATGTCAGATTAATGTCTTCCACCTATAACGTACCCATTCACCGTTCCAACCACCAGCGGTACTGTCTCCCGATACTCGATATCCTGTGCCAATTCATAGAGCGGACGAGCAGCCACGGCCATCTAACAATTATTTTTTAGGTTTTGATGCTTCTTCCATGGCTTAGATACCTTTGGGTCGAAAAGGAACAATAAGACGCAATCCGAATCGATGGCTTCCACAGCTTCACGTGGCTTGGAGAGGTCAAAGCAAAACCATTCAGATTTTTTTTTTCTGTGTTCCAAATCACCAAAAATCAAAACCCAAAATGACATGAGGGAGTAGACATGACCAGCAATCGTGGCTAGCTAATACGATTTTAGACGCACGTAAGCCAGGTGGCGCGTGCGTCGGAAACATTTCTGCCGAAACAGTGTTGATAGCCTGAAATTCGGCAGCGGCTAATGCCTGCTCGTGGGATTTGAGGGTTTTTTGTAGTTTATAAACTACAAGGATTGCTGACAAATTAGGCAGCCGGAAGCCAAGCTTCTACTATTGCACAATCAATACGCTTGAGACGAGAATCTTGAATGTAGCGTGTCAGCGCTCGGACGGTCCATTCTTCAGATGGGCGACGGCTTTCGTCTTTAAACTTTATTAAATCTGTTAAAACGCGTTTTCACGTCATTTGAAGTTTTCGCATTATCGCTGAGACCAAATTTTTTAATCCAAAATTAAACAAATTTTTAGGTCGAAGCTTTTGGCCAAAATTGCCCAACGCTGGTCAAAAGCTCGATTTTTTGGATTTTGTAATAAAAAATTCGTAGAGTTTTTACGTTTAGGAATAGTACCAAAAAGCTCAGAAACACTTGCGCTTTTCTTATATTAGAAAAATGGATGCTAAGCGAAAAGTTGGTCTTTGAAAAAAACACCTCTGTATCCTGCGGCTTCATGGTGATTATTGCGGGATGGGTGGCCCTGAAAACCGACAAAAAATATATAATTTTCGATGAAACACGCTCCTTTAAACAATTAAAATAATTGCTACCACTGTGACACCTTCTCATCGATGAGGGTCTGAAAGTGTAGTGCCCTTTCAACGCCTCAGCTGCTTCCTGATATCTCCTTATATGCTTCTTCATTCTCGTCGTGACCGAAGAATGGATGAACCGTGTCGAGGGGATGGCCATAACCCTCCAGCATCCCCTCACGCCAGTATGGAACCTTAAAAGGCAATTTTTAAGGGTTCTTGAGAGTTAACGGGGAGGAGAACCTGATTTTTAACCCAGGTCTAAAAATGCCTAGGGTACTGAATCGGTCGAGTTTTTGCCAGTGTTTCAATAAAATTTAATTTGTTTGATTAAAAAATCGCGCTCGCGGCACTTTCAATAAAAATATGTACAGTGCTCCACATAATCTTAGGGTCCACCTCTAAAAATCGGCAAATAAAAATTTTTCCACTTTTTGGCAAAAAGTTAGCAACATGATCTTTCTCGCTTCTGGTATTTAAAATTTATACCAAAAGCGCCAATGCCGATCAACGGTTAGACAAAATCATTAGCTAGAAAAACATGAAAAAACCATTTTTGGTTGATCTACATAATCTTAGGTCCACCCGGCTTTACGAAAGGCGGGAGGGCCCAGAGTGTTTAATCGAAGTTCTTTCGCTTAATCACAACCTAAGCTACTCATTGAAAACGAAAAACTGGGCTGCTGGGTTCTGGGACGATTTTTAAAAATCGGATTTTAATAAAGGAATTTTGCTTTTTTAATTCTAAAAAATCGAAACCGGAGTGGAGCCGAGATTTGTCTACCGTATCGGAAAGAGCTTCTAATTGCGGTCATTTCAGTATCATGAAACCCTTGAAAATTTGAGCCCCAACGTTTATAAAATTCTGACAAACCCAAAGTGTGAAGAAATGCATTAACCGGCTCATGTCAGCTATGGTAGCACCTTCGGAAGCGCTGGTTCAAGCCTTGCTGACTATTTTGCGGGTGTTCCTGTATAACAAAAATGAGCGCCCTTGTAGTGCTATTTCGTATTTGGTCATTGAATCGAAGGGAATTGATTTCGATTTTTAGAATTAAAAAGCAAATTCCTTTGTTAAAATCTGATTTTTCAAAATCGTCCCAGGGCTTGGCAACCCAGTTTTTCGTTTCAATGAGTAGCTGAGGTTGTGATTAAGCAAAAGAGCTTCGATTATTCACCCTGGGCCCACGCGTTTTTTCTTGCAAAGCCGGGTGGACCTAAGATTATGTGGAGTCGCCAAAATGGTTTTTTCATGTTTTTCTAGCTAATGATTTTGTCTAACCGTTGATCGGCATTGGCGCTTTTGGTATAAATTTTAAATACCAGAAGCGAGAAGATCATGTTGCTAACTTTTTGCCAAAAAGTGGAAAAATTTTTATTTGCCGATTTTTAGAGGTGGATTCAAGATTATGTGGAGCACTGTATTATACTTTTTCGATCAAAGGATAGCAAAACAAAAACCCAATATTTTGGCTTTTTAGATTCGAAAAATTCGAGCCTAAGGAATTCACCACCCCCCGATAATGCAAAAAGACCCGTTTTTAAGCTTAATCAAGCGACCAACCAGGTCCTCGTTGACTCGATGTACCGTATATCGTCGATAGACCTACGACGGAAGGATTTGGCGAAATTTTGACGGAATTCACCTGATGACCAAATCACTGATGTCCTCCACCGTCATCATGTCCAGTTCCGTGGTCCACGCCTTTTGCAACTAAAGCGCGAGGAATAATGCCGACCGCGAAAATACCGACAGTCATAATGCCGACAATCCGCAATACCTCACAATCATAATAAATCGAAATATCTCAGACGCTAGTTTGAATGCGACTGCCTTTTAGCTGCGATTTTGCATGTCGGTAACCTGGGATTTTGGCTGTCGACGTTCGAGATGCCGGGATTCTGCCTGTCGGTATTTTTGGATGTCGGCATTTTGAAGCTTCAGGATTTTGAGTGTCGGGATTTTTACTGTGGATCCTGGCTATCCTGGTTGGCTGTCGGGATTTTAACTGTGGATTCTGGCTGTCGATATTTTGGCTGTAGGATTTTGGCTTTTCTCGAAGCTCTCTGATAACTACGCGACGATATTACGCGCTGATCACCTTTTTGTCACGATAGTAGCGTAGAGTTGGGAAGTGGGCCACGTCAACGTATTCACCGCATTTGAAGACGTCGTGGGTGCAGTCGATGATAATTACCTAAAATAGGCTCGCAAAAATTTAAAGCGACTTTTAACGACTCCTCTAAGTGCCAAATAATTCTTAAAATACCTCAGCCCCTCCATCTCCCTCCTTGCCAACGAGACGATGACGGCCGCATGGTGATTCGCCATGCCTCCCGAAGCCGATGCTTTTTCATTTGCCCTCGCTTTTAACGAACCATCGCCATAAAAAGCGCAAATCGATGTTCATCCCCGGCCACAAACCTTCAAGACGCCCGGATTTTCCAGGCGGTGCTGCACAAGCTCGTGGGCAAGTTCACGCCATTTTGGGCATCTGAAAGGGAAGAAACGTGACGGACAACCAACAAAGGGGTTTATTTTCAGACTCACGCAGTGCTGGGTCCTGAAAGGTCTCGCATGGTCGATTCCCGCGCCTCGGATCGTTCTAAAATTTTTAATGTTTTGGTGCTTTTGCATTATCGGGGGAATACTTTTTCGATGTAATAGAACTGCCTAGTAATTAAATGGCGTTTTTTAATAGTCTTTCTAGCAACATTTTACTGTATTTCCAGTGTGAAAAAGCAAAAGGTTAAATTGCGATCGGAAAGTCGCTATTTTTGCATTTTTTTACTGAAAATTTGACTTGGCATTTCACTGACCTTGGTACTGTCTCGATTTATAACGAAAGCTTGAAGAAAAAGTTAGGTTACCCCCCTGATAATGCCAAAGCACCTGTTTTAAGCGGTCCGTTTTTCTCCTTTAAATATAGCACTTCAGACCAAAACTATAAATTTCGAAACATTTTAGAAGTTTGTTAATTGGTTTTCTCCACTTGGAGATGTAACATTTTAAAAATCCCTCATAAACTTTTTGCTATTACATGAATATGCATTATCTAGGGATTAGGGGCAAAAATACAGCCTCATTCCCCCCCGTCCCCCCTTCGATGCCACAGAACCTCTGTTTTTCAGTGGTGTATTTTTATTTAGAAAAAATATCGGCTTCAACCTACTCTACAATAACGCTCCAATATGCTCCTTCTGGGCGGGCATCATCATCTGATTATCGATCCCCTTCGTCCAGCTGCCCCTTCCATGCACCTGCAGCTCGACAAAGTGCCCTTCTTTCTTTCCTGAAACATAATTATCGACATTTTTCTTGACAAAACAAAACCTTTGTAATGTCAAGGCTCAGTAAATCTTTGTCTAGCGATTTTTGCAGACTTTCCACGGCCTGTTCGATGATTTCTTCTAAACAAAATACTTTTCTATTCCAGAAAAAGTTGATTTTAATGTGGGAAAAATCTGAATCAGAAAAATTTTATTGTTTGGTCATGGAATATACTTATCACTGGATTTTTCAAACATCTTAAAATAAAAATTTATAGTGTTTTGTTAGGCTCGGATCACGAAAGCGTAAAAATCTTTTTAGAAATTAAACATTACTAGAGATTGCCAGAAATTCCTAGTCATTGAATAAAAAGTATTTCAATAAAGTTATGAGTAAAATTTAGGTATATTCCAAATGGAAAACCTATCTTACAACATTACAAAAAATAGAAATTTTAGTCGAAAAATCGTTTTTATAGTGTCGTAATAAAATTTGTAAACCCTTTATTATTGTAAATTTCTAAAGTTAACATAATGCTTAATAAAAGTTTTTGCGCTTAGGATAACAAAAAATATTTAAGAAATTGATATGTAAAATGGATACTTTGGCAAAAGCCCCCCGCTAAGAGCCTAGCCCCAAAAACTTACCGGATCCCTTGATCGTCAACTCCAAATGTTGGCGATAGCGTAATAGCCGGGAAAAAGTATTAAAAGCCGGATGAAGCCCCGGAAAGTGAACATCATAAGCCCGCGCCCCTAAGCTTTCGAAGCCGCCGTCTTATTTGTCTATTTGGAAGCAGCCGAGGCCACGATAGGGCACAGACTATACGAATCGCGTTGAGGGTTGATAACAAATTATTGAGTGACCAAAAGAAGAGCCCGCAGCGGGACCCAATTCTTTTTTTTGTCGAGGTCAGAAGCCGGTGACATCGGATGAGCCAGCAGCAGCAGCAGCGTCCGCCACACGTTCGCATCTTTGACGCCTCGCAGGTCATCTTCTATACGTACGTTTGTGTTTTTCATGATTTTATCGATTTATTTACATTATTATTACTTTTAAGCGTCCATTTCCAAAGCTTTGAACATTTCATTCGATAGAGCGCCGAAAAATACCAAAAGATGTTTACGGTTTAAAAAAAACCCATATTTTAAACCATTTTTATCGCCGAGAAATGGTTTTTACGCATTATCGGGCACCATTTATTTTTCTAAGGATCCAATTTGCTCAACTAAATAGCGAAATTGTTTTGAAACTGTTTTTACTGTACTCTAAACGTAAAAACGACAAACTTTCATGGAAAATGCAAAAACATAGCCACGGCGCAAAAATGGCCGTTTTTGACCGAAATGTCGGATTTTTAACGTTTTGTTTAGAGAGCTTTCGCTTTAAATACAGCAAATTTCACTAAAACACTATTAAAGACTACCAGAACGATGGAACGCGCACTGTCACCCCGAGGGTGCTGTCCCCAAGAACGCGCGGAGAGAAGGGCGTCATTAGTGGTGCCTCGTACTGGGCAAAGGCCCTCTGGGGGTTTGGGGCGCCTCTGACTCCCTTCCCTACTTGGCCCTGTGGTATAGTGGCTAGCGCCTCAGACTGTGGAGCGAACCATCGCGGGTTCGACCCCGCCCGGTGCGCAACTTTCTTGCTCTAAACGATATTTCATCGTTCTGACGGTCTTTAAATACTTCCTACAACGTTACTAGGCATTTTCGGGCTTCTGGGACCCCCCCCGATAACGCGACAGAACCCAAAAATTGCAGCACCATTCTTATGTCCAGAATCGTTAATGACGAGTACGTAGCTTCCCGATATCCATCTTTTAGGGAGCATGGCAAAAGCATGTCCGTCTCCCCTTCCTCTCCCCTCTTCTTCACAGATTCTCCATGGCTTCTTCCATGCCCTCCGGCCACTCACCTCATTTCTCTGGGCCTCTCCCCTATTTGTACCCACTCTCCACTCCCGGCCACCCAGAAATCCCCCCAAAATGGGCGATTCTCGTCCTCCCCGGCCGGCCGTTCTGGCCAATACCCCTCGGCTTCGTCCTCCAGAAATATGCCATCCCTCAAAAATTTATTGCTGCCTTTTGGTGCCTGCCACGCTGTTTCGAGCATCGCCTTGCTCAGCGACAGATCTTCTTTGATTGCGTTTAATATTGATAATTTTTGCATTTTTAGTAAGAAACAGTAAGGGAAACTTGCGAAGTTTCAGCGTTTCTAAAGTTTAATCAATTTTAACAGCCTGGAAAAAATCTTCATAGAGCTTTTTAAGAGCTTCATAGAGCTTAAGTTTAGAAGCATATCTATAAACCAGAAAGCGTAAATAACTTTAGATCTTCCTTTATATATCGCCAACGGCGTATTTTAGGGCTTAGATCGATAATCTAAATTTGAACAATGGCTGTAAGCTTCCCAAAGTAGACCAAAGGTATTACTAGACGTCTAGTGTGTATTTTAATATGCCAAACCAGACTAGATAGCTTGTTAGGTAGTTTTACCCATAGCAAATTACTTTATAACACTGCTTCAACTTTACAAATTCGTTAAAAGGCTATGAAAACCATGAAAACGATAGGTTATTCATTTTTCGATTGTTATAATGGGCACATCTGCTATTTCGTGCCCCGGCCTTTATCATTCCTGCAGTGAAAAACGCTTCAAAACCCCAAGAAGAAGCACTAATGCTAGGTCATGTTCAGAAGCAGATGCTCGCTTCATCATTGATTAAGCATTGATCTGGTTTAGTTCTATTTTTACAACCTTACAAAGCTCTCTTTTTTCTCTCAGCATTTTCAAACATTTTTGATTGCAGGTTCGAGGAGATGGCGTTGAAGAACATTCGGTCAAACCTCGACCGTCTGTTCGACAAGAGCCTCACCGATCTCATTCGTGGTATCAGGAACAACAAAGATAATGAGGTTATCCTCTATTAAACTTTTAACTTTTGATATTTTAGGCTCGTTATATCGCGTCGTGCATCGAGGAGATCAAGATGGAGCTCAAACAGGAGTCGACGTTCGTCAAGGCCAATGCTATCGAGAAATTGGCATATGTAAGTTATACTTTATCGTTCAAAATGAATATTATTCGAACAAATGCATTTTATGCAGTATAATATTTATTATATTAAGAAAATCAACAACGTGTTGCTATTGTAAAAATGGGCCAAATAATTGCGTATGCCTATCATTTGCAGTTACAAATGCTTGGCTACGACATTTCGTGGGCCTCGTTCAACATCATCGAGGTGATGGCCTCAACAAAATATACCGAAAAACGGATAGGGTAGCGCCATATTCCTTGCTTGAAGTTTGTCGTCTCAGATACCTAGCCGCCGCCCAATCCTTTCACGACGACACCGAAGTGTTGATGTTGACGACCCAAATGATTCGAAAGGATATTAATTCCCCCAATATGTACGCGTTACCATATTTTTCCGTATATTTTCTGCTATTTAGGTATGATTCGGGCGTGGCGCTGGGCGGTATGGCCTGTTTTGTGACCCCGGATTTGGCCAGGACTTGGCTAGTGATATCGTAAATCTGGTAGGTCTTAAAACCATTTTTTCATACAGTTAATCTTGACTCCCAAGTCAAGTTCATGATTTTTTTTAGTTAACCTGCTCCCGGCCATACATCCGGAAACGAGCCGTGCTGCTGCTGTACAAGATTTTTCTAAAATACCCCGACGCGCTACGGCCGACGTTTCCCCGATTGAAGGAACGGCTTGAAGACGCGGATCCTGGTAGGTTTCCCGGCATTTTTAGCTATCAAGCTCCTTTCCAGGCGTCCAAAGTGCTGCCGTGAACGTCATCTGCGAGTTAGCGCGAAAGAACCCGAAAAACTATCTGACGCTCGCGCCCGTTTTCTTCAAGTTGATGACGACGTCGTCGAACAACTGGATGTTGATCAAGATTATTAAATTGGTAGGCGGGAGGTTTAAATTATTAGTTGGTTCAAAAGGCCAGAAACTCGTTCTTTGGCATTTCTAGGCAAAAAATCAGCAAACTTTTTTCTTTGAATCGAATTTTGGGAATACTATTAGATAACCTGTTTCTAAATCGTTTTTATTACCCTAGCCATCGAAATTGTCTAAATTTTCGGCGAACTTTTAGGAAAACTTCCGCATTAATAAATGCTAAAGACTCATTTTTTTCTTAATCACTGTTTTCCATTTCCCCTTTCAGTTCGGCGCGCTCGTCCCGTTGGAGCCTAGACTGGGCAAAAAGCTGCTCGAACCACTGACGAATTTGATCAACAGCACCTCGGCTATGTCGCTGCTCTACGAGTGCATAAACACGGTCATTGCTGGTACGTTTCGAGCCCAAAACTTTGAAAAATAAGCTTTGTTAGAAATTAATTTCGAACTCGCTTTTCAGTGCTCATCAGCACATCCGCCGGCACGCCGGGCGACCACACGACAAGCATCCAGCTGTGCGTCCAGAAGCTCGGCCTGCTCATCGAGGATTCTGACCAGAACCTGAAATACCTGGGCCTGTTGGCGATGGGCAAGATTCTACAGACGCACCCGAAAGCTGTGCAGGTACGAGAGAATACGTATAGATGGATTGCGTTCCGTTTGATTTTTCCAGGGGCTTTTCCAGGATTTTTCTATTCTAACTTGCTTTCGGTGCATTTGTTTCGCAACTTTTTGACCTAGAGAATATTTAAAAACAACGTTTTCTTACATGAAACCACAAAAATGTGTAAAATGAAAAAGCCGATGAAATTCGGTGAAGTGCACTAAAAATGTTAATTACGGAGATCTGATTCGGGTATTTAGGCGCACAAAGACATTGTTCTACGCTGCCTCGACGATCGTGACGAGAGCATCAGGATAAGGTAGGCAATTGCTCAGCGAATAAAAATTTACACACCACTTCCAGGTCCCTCGACTTGCTCTACGGCATGGTCTCGAAGAAGAACATCATGGAGATTGTGAAGAAGCTGATGGAACATGTGGAACATGCGGAGGGATCGCATTACAGGTATAAAAAGCCGCAAAAACCCTTAATTCTCCATGATTCTAGGGACGAGCTGCTGTCCCGGATCATCTCCATCTGCTCCTACAACAATTACCAATACATCACAAACTTTGAGTGGTACATCTCGGTGCTCGTCGAGCTGACGAAGGTCGAAGGGACGAAGCACGGCGCCAAAATTGCTGAACAGGTCCGTTTCGATTGAAAGCTACGGAATAATAAGGCCAGCCTTGCCGATAATTTTTCGTTCATATTCCGAATGCTAAGAAAGTAATAGTAAGTATTTTCAAGGTATTTAAGAAATACAAGCGGAAAAATGACTACGACGAAAACGACTGCAAAAAGTCTTGTAACTTTGGGATTAGAATGATTTTTAAGGTTTCTTTAGTTTATCAAACTTTAATATTTCTGGCGGGAGGCGGAAGCGAATTTCTTAGAAGTTTACTTATTACTGATAACCTGATAGAAAGTATTTTATGGTTTTTTTTTGGTAAAATTTAGACGGAAAAACTATTAGAAATCTTTCAAAAACGATCTAATTCTTGAAAGCTATATTTTACGTATTTTTTAAAAATGATATTTTGATGTCTAGCAATAGTAATAAAATGAAAACATGCCCTCGTTTTTTTTTCATGGATAATTCGAAAGCTAACCACTATAGTTATTGCTAAAAACGAAAATTTCCATATTTTTAGATCCAAGACGTCACCGTACGCGTCCAATCGATTCGCCACTTCTCCGTCTCCCAGATGGCGTTATTGGTGGAGAACGCGAATCTGCTCCTTTCCGGAAGCGCACAGCAGCGCTCAAACATCAGCGAAGTGTTGCTGGCGGCCGCTTGGATTTGTGGCGAATATTGGGAGCATGTCCGCGATCTCGATGGTGTACTCGCTGCCATGCTCAAAGCAAAACCATCGTTGATGCCCGGCCACATCCTCTCGGTCTATGTGCAAAACATTGGAAAGCTGTACGCCGCGCTGTTGGGCAAGGCCGAGGCCGAGGACGATTGGGACGCCGTGGAATCGCTGGACAATTTGATGATGAGCAAATTGCCGGAGCTCGAGTTGGCCGAACACTTGGAGGCTCAAGAGCGGGTAAGTACTAGGAAATTGGGTGAAAAGGCCAAAATACCGATTCAAGCGTACCAAATTCAAAAAAGGTGGAAATCCCGACAGGTCAAAATGAGTGTCGAATCGTGACAGCAAAAATCCCGACATAGTTCGGGGGTGTCGAGGTTTTCCATTTTGATCTGTCGGTATTTTCGCAAATTTCCTTCAAAAGTTCACGCTTTTGCGCATTCTATTGTCTTAAAAACCATTTTAGGCGTGCACCCTGGCCGCGATGCTGCGTGTCCTCGAGCAGTACCACAGTCGAAAGGAGAAGGTTGGAGCGGAAGTGTGCCAATTGTACGAGGGAGAGCTGAACCCGGTGGCCGGAAAGGCACAACGGAAAGTGCCACTGCCGGAGGGTCTCGATCTGGATGTGTGGATCGGAGAGGAATGGCAGGAGAGCGCGTCGGAAAGCAGTGATGAAGATGAGGCCGAGAAGACGTTCGGACAAATGCGGGTAAGTTAAAGTGGAAATGTTGAAATTAATCAATGAAAAATCTGGAATTCACTTTTATTCTAGGTACGCAGCGAGTTCGCCAACTTTGGCGGCCCACCCCGATACGAATCCGACGAAGAGGCCGAGCCCGCACACCAGAAAAAGCCGAAAAAGAAGGCGTCCACCGAGCTGACGCCGGCCGAGCTGGAGAAGCGGAAGCTGCAGAGAGAGCGAGAGATACAGAGCAATCCGTGAGTTGTCGCCGTTTTTTTGCGATTTTAATCACTTTAGGTACTACGTGAAAGGAACGGCCACACAGCCAAAACGCCCCACCGAATTCCAAATGGCGCCGAAAGCTGAAGAAAACGGGACAACATCCGCGCACTTGAATATACAAAGTCCGCTGGAAATTCCAGGTATTTTTAGAGCAGTTAAAACTAATAAAAAGAGAAAGAAGCGCAGAAATTTTACAAATTTTCATGCAAAATCCAAAAATACCAGCTTTGGACAAAAATTTCTGTTTTTACGCACTTTCGATAACTTGTAGACAGTTTTTTAAATTGAGCTAAACTTTAAAAGATAAGTTAACTTGTTGGAAATACAAAAATACAGATTTTTCGGCCAAATTTCAATGTTTACGCATTTTTTTCCATTGAAATTTAGCTAAATTTTAACAAAATCTTTATGAAAACAATTGCTGTTCCATTCATACACATATATAAATTTGTAAAAGCACCACGGGAGCTCTTCTAGTAAATTTTCTAGGCGTCGTCGGCCTCTCCCGTTATATGGAACAACAGGACGCGACGTTGACCTGGAAGAAGGCGAAGAAAGAGAAGAAAAAGACGACGAAAAAGGGCAAAAAGAAGAGGCATGACACGACTAGTGATGAAGACGAGGCCGCCGTCGTTCACCAGGTACATTTTTCACTTTATTTTTGATTTATCATTGTTCAGGTGAATCGACACGACGGTGAGATGCCGGAGAACGCAAAATCCACCGACGATGAGGCCGAGGAGAAAACGGTCCGTTTTTGGACGTTTGACGATTTATGAAGTATTTCAGAACGGCTTGACCGACGAGTTCAAGGCGCTTGACGTGAATCTGGACGAGCCGCTCAGGTTCGTTTGCTTAATAGTTCTTTCATAAAACAAAGGACGCAAATTTTTTTTCTTTAGGATTTAATTTTTCTGATATAAATTGAGGATCTATTCCAGCCTTTTTTCATTATTCCCTAGCGGAAAATCTACATATATAGAGTAAACAATGACATAGACATAGATGTTTCAGAAAAAAATAGCGATTTTCGTCCAATTTTTGGTATTTTCAGACCTTTTACGGTTGTCTAAATAGTTTTTCCAATTAGAAGTGCATCTGAATTTTACATAGGAGAACTTAAAGGGATGCCGACGCAAGTCAACCGGTTACGCGCGGAAAAGAAAATATCTCTGCGCCTCTCCCCTGGGCGCGCTCTCTCCCCTGTTGGCTACTTGCCAATTTGTTGATGGGGGGGATCGACACAGCCGTCGGCAGCCCTTAAAGAAAAAAAAAAAAGAAAAAAAATTATGTAAATTGACTAAAATAAGAAAAATGAAAATAAGAAAAATGAAAGAAAAATAAAGAGTAGAAGATATAAATATACAGTTATAGGAAAAATTAATCGTTCCTTAATTCTGCAGAAGCACCGTATTAGTATATTTCTCGGATTTAGACCCGATGAAATCGTTCGCGGTCCCCAGGCATATATCCGACAAACCGTCAGCCATCGTCCACTTATGGTAATAATTTTCCGGGGTTTTTTATAAAGAGTTTCCGAAGCTCTAAAACAATTTTTTGAAAATACGAAAATCCCCTAGCATCCCTACGCGATAGACGAGGCCTACTCGATGGAATATGTAAGGGCGCATCGGGGTCACGTGAATTTCCGAGATGTTTATCTATATCTATCAGCCCCGTCCGTTACTGTCCAAATGACGCGGCGAGCTGTGTGAATTTGTTGTCAAACACGTCTAGAACCCTGTCGACAGGAAACTAGCATTTTACGATCGCGCTTTTGTATGTTGTCGGCGCTGTTGTGGGGGTTAGTGGAATTTTAAAAGTTGTTGCTTTTCAGCAGGGCCCACTGCAACCTCGGCCACCAACCACGGGACCACTGCTGAAGAAGCCGGCCGTAGAGACGGAAGAAGAAAAAGAAGAAGACCGAAAAGGATGCGGAGGAGTACGTGTTTACGTTAGTTTACGCCCAGTTTGCACCGTACTTATTTTTAAGCAGGAAAAGTGGAAAGAGCGCGTTTTTTACCTAATCTAGCGTACAGTTTTTCGGACTTACAGACGAACATATCGGGGCGTGCGTGTTTTTAGGAGGGAGGGGGTTTTTAGTACGTTTTTACGGCATTTTTAGCCGAAAAACAATAGGCCAACAGTACGCGAGCGTCAATTTACGTACTTTACAATTGACGTCAACAAGAACGGTTTTTAGAAAGCCCAAGAAAAAGAAGAAGGCAAAAACCCCTGGAGCGACGGCCACAAACGGCGAACCGGTTGCGCCCGAGGCCACAAATGACATCGACACCTGGCTGGACACGGAAACCGTGGTTGAACAAGCAGCGGATGCGCTCAAGGTCGGTTCAAATTTGATACAAAAAATTCCGTTTTCAGGCCGAAAAGAAGGGCAAGGGCAAAAGAAGAAGCTGGCGGTGCCGTCGCGTGAAGCCTACGAGCAGCCATCCGGTGTCTGCACGCCGTCCTCAAATCCGTTCAGCGAATCGATCGGGGCAGCCCGCGTCCAGCCATCCACACCTGGCCAGTCTGGCTAGTAATGGGACTTGAAAGCGGTAAGTCTGGGAGTGAAAAGTTATTACATTAATGCATACAAATTTTAATTATAATTTTATCAAATCTTACCCTATTCACAGGTGGCAAAAACCATTTATAAAATCTATACATTTTCAAAAATGAAAATCCTACTAAAAAAAAATAGGTCTGTGTGTGTGTGTGCACCATGCAACTTCCGTCCGAGTTCCAGTCGATCTCGTATAGGAGGGTGAGGGGTATGTACGATAGTCATTAGGTGCAGGTCAAGACACGACGCACCCTATTAGATTTTTGAAAATAAGCTGTTTCCGATATAAAAATTAGGTTTGTGAAAATCTCGCCCGACCCTTGTTAGGAATTAATAGCATACGCCGAAGTGGCGCTAGCCTATAAAAGGGAGGGAGAGGGAGCGTTCTTCTCATTTTTTTGTTCGTGGGATGTGGGTGGGATATGCAAAGTGTAAACTTTCATAGGGCCCAGAGGGGCCAGGGTTGAAAAGTCCGGCGGCTTTTCAACCTGGTTTGGATTAAATGGTAATGTTTGTATTTTTAATAGAATTTCTGGAGCTTTTACGTATATAGATGGTAAAAAATAGTCTAGACAGACTTTTTAAAAAATTGGGCCATGGATTAATAACAAGTATTTAACAGCGTTCTTTGTCAAATTTAACTATATTTAAAGTGGCGAATCTATTTATAAAACGTCGAAAACGATCTGCAAATTTTATCGAAAATCGGCATTTTTCTGTTTTTTTTATATAAATTGGTGACGCTTTTACGTTCTGGTGTGGAAGGGGTTTCTAGGAAAATTGGTCCTTACGGGATTTCCCCCCCCCCCCAATAATACACAAGAACCTAATCTAAAACCTTTAGGAATACTCGGTCGGTGTTTGTCCGGACGAGCCTTCGGTTTGCGTGGTTACGGTGGCCCTTGTCAATGAGGGATCTCTGGAGGTGAAGCGGGTCGAGATGAACGTGTGCGATACGCTGAATGCCCGGCTGAAAACGCAGGGCGCCGAGGTGCGTGGTCGTAAATTAAAACTACAGACTACGATGACTTATATAAAAATTATAGTACTGTAATCACTTCATTATAGGATGGTATTTCTGTGCCTACAATCCCTCCTGGCGGCACCGCCAGTGTTCATCTCCGGCTGTCCATTGCCTCCCCGTCGGTGTCGCAAAAGATACGCGGCTCGCTGACGTATTTTGTGCAGGTGAGTACGAGCCAGTAGGAGGAAAACATTCTGTCGAAATTTCGGATTTTCGACATTTTTAGTTGGCGAATTTTAGCGTGCTGAATTCGAAATGCCCAATTTTAGGTTTTAGAATTTTTCGGGAGTTTTTTCATCGCAATTCGGTCTTCTGCGAGTTGGATGTCTAAAAATGCGATTTTGTGGATTTTTGACACTCTGAAATGTCGGTATAATGAACTTTAGACACTCTGAGATTTCGGTATTATGAAATTTGTCATTTTGAGATTTGAGATTTTCATAAGCAAATTTGAAATTGAACTTTCGATATTTTGAGATTTCGAAATTATGAATTTTATCTTTTTTTTTCGATATTATGAAATTTGCACGCTCTGAGATTTCCATTAAGGATTGCCGGTATTCTGATCCTTAAGGATAGTGACAAATGGCTTTTTGAAATCCTCATTTTCGACATTCTGTTACCAAACTCCCAACGGAATACCCACACAATATTTCAGGAGGGCGAAAACTCGAGCTCCGAGAAGCTAGACTTCAAGCTCGCCATCCCGACCACCACCTTCCTGTCACCAGCGACTATTGGAAAGTAGGGCCCATCAAATAATACGGTATCCCCGATTCAGGGAAGCCTACGGCATCCTCCTCTCCGGCGATGAGATCGACATGACCGCGTCGGCGTCGTGCAGCAGCCCGTTGACTTTCAAGAAGACCGTGCAGCGCATCACGCAACGGGCCAGGTTTTCGGGTGGGTGTGGCTTATCGGTTAGGTGCCAAAAAGCTGCTAATCCGGGAGAACTAGCAGAGAGTCTTTGTGGAAAATGTGAATTTCTGGGCCGAAGAAAAAAACGGTGGTTTCAGTTGTGGAAGAAGTGGCTTCTGCCGCCTCCCTTTATGCCACTACACAGACTGGCGAGCCGATCGCGATACTCGTCAAGAAAACGGTAAGTCGTATTACATTACGCAATGGGAGGGCAGAAAAATGACCGCTCCATTTGTAGAAAAAATAGCTTTTCCAGCTCCCTGAAAACTGGTTTAATTGATTACGCAATGGAAACAGGAAGAGATTAACGTATTACGCAACGAAAATCCGGACAGACGCGTTGCGTGTCGCGCGGCGTTAGAATAGTGCCTTCCCGGTTCCTTTAGGCGGGGCTTAATCCATTGCGCAACGAAAAAGCGGACTGTCGCGTTGCGTGTCGCGCTGCGTTTAAATCCAAAAGGCCAGATATACCTTGCCTATCCCTTTAAAAGTCTCTAAAGTCACCCCTCCTTGCACCCCCCATTCAATTCCAGACTGACGGCCTCCAAATCGACGGGAAAGCCGCCGACCAGCAGCTCATCTCCAGCCTGGTCGACGATTTGAGGGAGCTCTGCTCTCGCAAATAATTTAGCCCTCCCAAATAATCTCTACCAATTATGGCCTTTGAGGTTGTACAGTATCCGCGATTTCCCCCTCTTTTCTATACCTTCAAAACTGGTGCTATCCGGCATTTTCTGTCCTCTCTAGTCGTCTAAATTCTAAACCTTGTCCCCCCTCCTTTCGCTTCTCTGCATGCCCATCTGCTCACTTGATATACATTTTCCGGGATACGGTACTCGACCCACACTTTCTATAATATAATACATTCCATTCCAATTTACACACTCGTCGGCCAGTGTTTTGTTTGTGACTCTTCATTTGTGATTTTGGTTTATGTTTCCGGCGGAGGTTGGAAGAATAATAAATTATTCAGAGGTTGAACCGTAACGACATTTCATGTTACAATCAATTTGAATCCTCAGCCAAGCCAAGCTAGCTTGATCCTTAAATCTGCTCGAAGGCTTGAGCAAATGGCTCCATTCATAAGCCCCTGGTCCAAGCTTCAGAGGCTTATCATTACTTTAGTCTACTTCGCAGGCTTCGCCGGCCATCACTTTCCAAGTAAGCTTCGGCTCAGCGGGCTTAATCGGCAAGCTAAGTCACTAGCTTCACTCTTAAGCCTGCTAAGCCAGCTTGAACCGTTCAAGTATCAAAAAAATGTGCCGATAAATTATGTGCACTTCATTTAAGGTAAATAAGAAGTTTTATTGCCCCCCTTTCAGCTGATAAATGACGCATGAAAGCCGTCGCAATTCCCCACAGGTTTGTTCAGAGGTGCCGCTCGTAAATTCTGGGCCTCGCTTGGCTACCGGACATGATAAGCCGTGATAAGCCGGCAGGGCTTTAATTTTGGGGTGTGGCGCTACTCAAAATTCCTTTTTGATTTTGGTGTATTCTTTGTAATGTGGTTCGAATTGACTTTGAAAGGGGTCGAAGCCCCAAAGCCCCGACGTCCCTAGTTGTCGAGGAGATTTTGCATTATCGGGGGGTAGAACTGCCTAGTAGCGCAATAGTAAGCGTATTAATATTGTTTCTGTAAATTTTCACTATGTTTTAAATCGAAAAACTATCTAAAATTTCGAAGTAACTTTTTGTCAAAAAACGATGTTTTTCGAAAAAATGTGTAAAAACACTTTGAAAGACTTTTTCGTTGTTTTTTTTGGAAGTCAAAGACCCTCCTCCCGCTAATGTCAAAGCCCCGAATTCTGTAGAACTCTTGGCGATACGCAACGCGCCGCTTCGCTTGTCCTCCTTGAAGACGCCGGACTTCATGAGATAATTGAAATGCCCACCCTCTTTTCGTGTTATTCTTTTATCAAAACCATTGGGATTCCGTAGCCATCTATCGTGAAGCCTGACCCGTATCTTTAAAACCACTACAGATGCTACTCTTCCTCCTCCTTGTCCTCCCTGCAGCCTTGGCCACCAGCGATTTGAAGCTGGGCTACGGGTGCGACAAGGTGTCGTGCGAATTCTCGATTGACATCGCTGAGGTAGGGATATTTTTTGGAATTTTTTGGGTTCTTGGGGTACGATAGAACACGCAATGCACACTCGTTATTTTTCAGGCGTTGGCCAGCTACGTGGATCAGAACGATTTTACGACTCGTTTTGCGGCCATCGGTGAAGCACTACAGGACATTGCCAATAAGGAGGTCCAGATTGGAGATGCTCTCGACGTTTTCGCTGCGGTAAGCTCGTTTTAAAGGGGTTAGGAAACGCTCAGAAGCAAACGCATCCCGGCTGGACTGACTTAAAGGGGGGGGGGCGGGGTCGTCCCGAGTCTTTTTGATGATAATCGAAAAGTGACATAACCGGTTCCATGGAGCTTTAAATTCTGAGCAAAACCCATCTTTTCAAAAAATTCTGAACGATCCCGAACTTCTAGAAAAAGTTTTGCAAAGTTTTGGTTTGCTAACTACGGCCCAAAAATGCGCAAAACAGCGGCTGTCGGGGGAGCCGCAACGCGCACGCGTGGTATGATTGCTAAAAACGGTAGTACTCCATTACGCCCCGGAAAAACCGGCTCTCGCGTTGCGTGCCGCGGCGAATTTCCCAGGAATCCCTAGACCCATGTGGCCTTTTCCGTCCCTTTAAAAACCGGAGAAAAACTATCAAGTTGGCAGCTAACAGGATTGGCACTGAAATTAAAGGGAAAGTTTAAAAAACCAAATGTTTGCGTTAAAATTAGGATTCAGAACTGATATTTAGAGATTTAACCTATCGAAGTTTGATCTGACTTCGTAAACTTTAGAATTTCACGACAACCTACAAGGAGGTGCAGCCAGTGGCCAAGGATTTCGTGGATGCAGTCAATATACTAACCTCCACTTTTGGGACGACCGGTAACGATTCGGACAAGCTGGTTGCTGATGTGAGGCGCCTTAAAATTATATATAATTTGCTGGTTTCAAAATCTAAAAATTATCACATTAAAAATCTATATAGGCAGCCCAGGCAGTGGTTGACGCTCGGTGCTTCTACTCGAACAAAGACGAGCCGTGGAAATGCGTCGCCACCCCAACCACTGCCGCCCCCGCGTATTAACCCATTTAAGCCGGAATTTGAATAAATCGGCCGCTGTATTTGAATAAAAACCTGAATGTAATTGAATTGAACGAAAGGATGGAAATCTTTACATATCGCAGCGCGTAGGCAGGAAATAAAAAATTAGAGATAAACTTGTTTTTAGAATTTTCAACAGATTTGGGAGATACGGGAAAACGCAAAATTCCGACATTCAAAACACCGACAGCTGTAATCCCGACAACAATTATCCCGACAGCCAAAATCCCGAAAGGGCAAAATCCGACTGACCAATCCCGGCAGCCAAAAACCCCACAAGCCACAATCCCGACATTCAAAATCACGACATTCAAAATCCCGACAGACAAATCCCGACAGATAAATCCGGTGAGTTAGAATCCCGACAGTCAAAATCCCGACAGCCAGAAACCCTGGAGCCCAAAACCTTTGATGGGTACAACCACCGGAAATATCACATTTTGGCTGTCGGGATTATAGCTGGAATTCCGTAGCTAATCTAAAAATACAGTACATCTCCATATTCCTATTTTTTGCATATTTTCCTGGATGTTTTGGTGTATTTTCGTGCGACTTTTTGGGCGGCTAATTTTCGTCTGAGCGGCGCCGACTGGCGTCGCTTTCCGGGGCGCCCGATTTGACCTCATAGGGGATTTCGCGACCAAAGAAGAACAATTTCTGTCTGACTGTCTGGCTGTTTTTCTGTCTATTTCTGAGTCTGTTCGTCTGCCAACTTGAAGTTTGCCTTTTTCGTGCTTCGACTGGTGGGAAGGGGAGTTCCGGGTTTCGAGCGTCTTTGTGGCATTGAACTGCCAAGCCGAAATTTTTTGGACCCAATCTAGACTCTCGTCTGCTGCAAAAAATAACTAAAATACTTAGCAAATATGAATTATCCTATTATATAATAAAATCTCAATAAATAATATAAATATCAATCTAGAGCTTAATATAACATTTTGGCTGTCGAAATAAAAAACCGTTTTTAATTATAGACTTTCGGTACACAACTGTTATCGGGGGGGGGGGGTGAAAGCTCAAACAAAAACTACTAAAAACTACAACAATTGTCAACAGGCCGACGAGAAAACCAAAAATCCCCAATACCCCCGATAATGGTCCAGGGCTTATTTCTCGATTTTTCAATGCGGAACCGCGCTATATTCATACCGTATCGCCCAAAAATACAGCTGACAATGGCGCCGCGTACAGATTGTCATTCGTAGCCGTAGCTATCTCTGTATAGCGCTCTGTTTGTTGACCATCCTTGTCGTTCCTCATCTCGTTCCGTCCGTCGGCATTCCCATTCATTCTGCGATTGTCGTCAAGGAGGGGCTGTAGATGTTTGGCTAGAGGATCGTCTCGTAGCCCTCCCCCTTCTCCTCTCTCAACTACTAGACCATCCACTTGACGACCGCTTTAACCCACGAATCCACCCTCAACAGCCCCCAGGTGACGAGGTCTAGCTAGAAATTGGGGGCAATCTGCCAATAGCCGGTCTATGCCACAGGGGGTTAAATATAGAATTGATGCCCGAACTTCGTTCCTTTAAATTCAGGATTTGTTCCATATACCCTGATGTACGGTACCTCGCCTTTATCTTATTCTCGGGTTCTGGTTCGTTAGCGGGGGGGGACCCGGGTTTCTTTCGCATTATCGGGGGGGATTTGGTTTTGTATAAATCTAGAAATGTCTCTTAACATAATAGGAAAGGTTTAATCAAGTTTTTGGTAAAGAAAAACGCTATTTTAAGTAGAGAAACTACCTAAAAATACGCAAAACTTTCAAAAAATTGAAATTTTGGTCAAAACCGGCCATTATAAACGTCAAGTCGTCAAAGTATAGATTTTTTGTAGTTTTGTATTTTTAATAAAATTTTGTACGTTTTTTAGGTTTTAAAATTTATTCGTTATCGTTCGAATTTGACGATATTTGTATTTCAAAACTGGGTTCCCAAGGAAAAAATGCCGAAAATACAGAAAAGCCAGAATGCCGACAGCACAGATTTCGGCCCTCAAAAGATTTGTCGGTTTGTCAGCGATGCTATGATGCATGTCGGAATTTCGCTATTTTCTTATTTTTCGTCGATATGTCGATATTATCGGCATTTTGACCGTCGTTTTGCTGACTGTCGATATTTCGGTTGGGGTCAATACGGCTTTAGATATTTTGGCTGTATTTCTTTGAAATATCGGCATTTTGGGGTTGTCGGCATTTTAGTTGGTCGAATTTTGGTTGTCGTTATTTTGGCCCGTTGAGACTTCAATTGCCGGCGTTGTGGCGCTCTGAATTTTAACCGCCAGGATTTTGGCTGTGTGTTTACCCGAATTTGGCTTGTCGGCATTTTGCTGTCGACCATTCGATTGTCGGTATTCTTACTATCCTAGTTTTGACCGTCGGTATCTTGGCTGTCCGCTTTTTTGTTGTCGGTATTTTGTAGCTCGGTATTCTATCGATATTCCCTTCAAAAATTACCCGGATGCGGCTCTTCGCCCTTTTATTCAAATTTCCTGTATTCCCCAGCTACCACTTTCGGCATGCAAAAGCCGAAGGGGGTGAAACTTGCGCGGTTTCGCCTCGTTGATACCCAACCGCATCCATTTCCCTTTTCGAACTTTCGCCTTGCAACACAGGAAAAAAGAATGGGCAGCAAGTTGTGCGCGACAGCAGGGATTCTCACATTTTGTATCGGCACTTTCACCGCCCGCTCACAATTCCAATGTGACGATCCATTCATGCCATATGGGGGGGATGGCTTCGAAGTGGGCTTCCCCCAGGGGTTGCACCGAGTTTTTTGGAATCCCCGCGGTAGTCGCAACTTTTGGGATATGCCGTAAAATTTTACCGTATCCTCAATGCCATATCGATGCGATGTAAGCCTGGTCTAGGCCTAAGTCCAAGTATAAGCTTAAGCCTGAGCCTAAGCTAAGTCTGAGCTAAGCCTCAGCTCCGCCGCAGCTAAGCCTAGTCTAAGCTTAAACTAAGCCTAAGCCTAGCCTAAGTGTAAGCCTAAGATAAGCCTGGTCCTAAGTGTAAGCTTAAACCTAAACCTAATCTAAGCCTAAGCCCAAGCATAATCCTAAGTATTATTTAACCCCAAACCTAAGTCTAAGCCCAACCTAAGCAATGCCTAAGCTAATGCGAAGCGAAGTCTAGGGTAATCCTAAGTGAAGATTCAGCTCCGCTTCAGCTAAACCTAATCTTAGCTTAAGCTAAGCCTAAGCCTAGCCTAAGTGCAACCTAAGCTGATGCTGAAGCCTAGGTCTAAGCCTACGCCTACCTATGCCGAAGCCTACACCGGAGTCTAATCCTAAGCGAGAGCCTAAAATTACGAAGCCCGCGACCACGACAAATGTCGAAAGCTAGTTCGAAAACCAGGTCCCCAGGAGGGGTCAGTTCCGGCATCGTCAAGCCCCTTTAGTCTGATATATCCAGCCGTTCCTTCCGGTTCTCCCCATCGGCATAATGTCCGATTTGACCGTGACTCTTTGGGCTTGTTGTCCCCCTCCAAAGGTCTCCTCCTCCTCCTCCTTGCCGGTGTCCGTATTTCAACCGGTTTCTTAGCCATCCGCCCTCTCCAGTCAGCCTGAATACTTCTGAAAGGCTCACCCTCTCTTTGCCTTGACTGACTCATCCGCTTTTCTCGGCATCAGGGGTGGCATCATTGAATCAAACTCTCGCCGGCACTCACTTTCGTTTTTTTCACGGTTAGCTAGACCTGTTTTTATGAACTTTGAGTATTATCGAGAGTTTTTGTGCTTCGACTTCATTTCGTGGATTCATAGACTAAGCTAGGCTTGGCTTGATTTTGACTTAAGCTCTGACGTCACCTTGGTTTGGTAAGCTTCTAATTGGCTTAAGTCTAGGGTTGACTTAGGCTCATCAGTGCGTTTTGCTAAGCTCGGCAGGGGTAAAAGCCGCGTGTCTTACAATTAGCTTGGGATTGACTTAGGCCTGGCTTGGATAGGCTTATGTTTCGCCTAAGTCTGGCTTGAGCTAAGGTTGGCTGGTCTTAGGCCCAGGCTTAGGCTTAAGCTTAGCCTTTGAATCGAGAGAGTTTGACGGATAAAGCTTGACAGTTCCTTTAAAGGGAGTGAAAACGCGAAAATCTACCCCTTTCCGGTTTGCTAGGTATCGACGAGGGCCAGGAGTCCATCACTTTGGCTGGTCAGTCCCTTTAAAGGAAGCTAGGGGTTTTTTTGCAATCGTCCCTTTCCGGTTACTAGGTCTCGACAAAAAGCACCCCTATTTCAGTGGCTTGCCCGCCCCTTTAAACTGAGCTTGCCACCCCAAAAAAACAGCCCCGTCATTGCACTCTCGATCCGCCACGATTCACTACCAGACGTTTCGGTTGACCTTTTCCCGCCTCGTTTCCTCTATCAACCCAGGATCCCCGATTCCCACGATGCCCTTCTCCCTTACCATTCCAAAATCACGTCAACGGTCTTCTCGCGTAGCCCCAGGGCATTTAATTGGTGATTTGGAAAGGGAAGCGAGAGTACGGGGGAAGTCCTTGAGACACTCTGTCCGTTGTCCAGAGGCGGTGAGGAGGCTTTTGATTTGATTGTCTGTATCACTCACTATTTCGCTCTCTCTCTCTCTCTCCCTCTCTCTTTCATAATAGATGACCTTCAGACCTTAAAGTTGAGAAATATCAGAGCGCATTCCGGATAATTATTTAAAGTGCGTCAAAGCGAGAGAGAGAGAGAGAGCGAGAGAGTGAGAGCGAGAGAGTGAGAGAGAGTGCGATAGAGAGAAACCGACTGTCTACATCTGCAATGCATTTCGTGCTATCTCCTACTTTTTTGTGAGCTTCTCCTCGCTGTCAATAGTATGATGCGCGTCGCTGATGATGGAATGCGCCAAAAAGTGCCATTTTAGGTATTGACGCAGGTAGCGATACCTTCAAAAACGCAAAGCTGGCTTGGATTTGAGCCTGAGCTTAGGCTTGAGCTTGGGCTGGGGCTCAGACTTCTGATCCTAAGCTAAGCCAACTAAGCTAA